AAACCCATAAACCCAAACCCGAGAAGCCCTCGCTTTCGCTTTTCGCTTTTCGGGCACAGAGTCGTGTAACACAACGCAGCCTACGCATGCACTAATTCAGGTGAAACAAGTTTGTGCCACCAGAATGGGGCGGTGGCCCCCCCTGAAAGAACGGTGCAAAAGTAGGGCAACATGACAACTGCACAGGTCAAGGTTCCCTACGGCACCAAGCCAACCGGCAACCATAAAAGCAAATGGCCAAACTGGGCGGACAGCCTTCGGCCAGCCGGGCGCCTTCCTCTGATCTTTATCTGCGACACACGAATACACGAGGGTAGATAATTTCCTCGAACCTAACAGACGATATGGAGCTTAAAGGCCCAATCCCCTTAGAAAAGACATATAGCGTAAGGAATCTTTGCATTTTAGATTATTTTTGGGACTAAGTGATTTTTGGCTTAAGATCAATTTTTAACTTTTTCTATAAAAATGTTGCCTGACAAAACAGGCGGCGGGCGCTTAGTGTCGCAGTAATAGGTGCTAATCCGGCAACAATGCATTGCTGGCTTTAGTGTTGCAGTTTTGGGCTTGGCATTGAAAATTGGGGTTAAGGATGCTTGGTGATCCAGGGAAAGCTTACACGGACTGGTGTGGGTCTTCATTTCATTTGCAGGCCGATGGGTCTTGTACAGGATTGACAAACAGCTTAGGCCAATTCTTGGAGTATGTCTTCATGAGATATCCAGGCTTGCTTGAGGCCGAATCTCAGGGTATGGCCCTCATAAGATATCTAGGCTAGATTACAAATCCGAGGTTGAGGTTGAAGGGTACTCGGCCTGCTTGCTAAGATCTGAAAGACTAGAGAACCCGGAACCCTAAAGCCTAAGCCTAAACCCTAAGCCCTAAGCCCTAAACCCTAAACCCTATTAACCCGAAAAGACCTTAGCAACAGCAACAGCAGCAGCAGCCGCAGCAGCAGTCGCAGCAGCAGAAGAACTGCGACTCCAGACCTGGTGCTGCCACTCGGACTGATTTTTTCGGCTTTGGTCAGCACCAGGTTAAACTGTGTGTTTGTCCATCGCTGCTTTAGCGATAACAGTCCATCGTTTGAGCATGTTCACCGGACTTGTGCTCGAGATCATCATCCTCATCATGCGCAAGGCATGTTTCATTCCGTCTTCGTCGATCCATGTGCTGAGCTTCGCTTGGTTCCGAGCAAAGTCATTCAAGTCGGAAATAACATGACACAAAAAATGATACTTCGGTCTGATCTTCCAAAGAAGAACATCAGCTGCAATCGCCTCATTTGCTAGCGAGAGATAGCTGGAAAGAAACAGAGATCCATAGAAGTATCCAGTCTCCCTTTCCTCACCAGTCATAAAAACACCACTTGTCATGAGCAGGCCCACCATGTTCGAGGCTGCCCACAGGCAAGCCGTCATCCCCTGATACTCGGGCGGACTCTTCTGCTGCGTCTTCCAGCAAAGAAACTTGAGGATGGTGCCCACGTCTGCACCCTTTGCGTGAAGCTCTGGGCAAGCATCGCTCTTCCAGTTCACCGTGCTCTTCTTGACCCGTTTCAGTTGCAGTTTGGTCTTTGTTGCTTTTGCCCAAATACGTAAGTCGCGAGTGAACTGACGAAACCTTGCCCCCAGCTTGCTTCCGGAGTAATAGCCACGCTTCCTCAATAAGACTTTGATACAGCTTCCGCAGAGGTCCCTTAAGACTCCTAAATGTAATACATGAAGGATGTCGATGCCCACGAGTGAAAACTTTGGATCCCACCCCCAAACGCTGGCCAAAGCCGGTCTGAAATGCCAGGGGTCTGGAGGATTGATGTCCTGACGCCACCCAGCCTGGTCAGATATGTTCGTGTACACATTCTCGAATCGGAGATTGCCCTTTGAAGCCATGCAGCGCCAGCAGATCTGAGGGTGCAGGGTGAGGTAGTATTGAGGGAAGCTTCAGTTACACTACTTGTGGCTATTCGTTTGTGTTTTTGTTGAAGTCCTTCTACGATTTGGCGTAGCACCGGTGGATAAAAAATGAAGACTTCAAAGACCAGCTGAGTAGCATCCTCTGTGCCAGCGTGGCGGCACAAGTTCAAGCCCTGGTACATGTATTTCAGGTCCCCTTTGAGACCAGTAACGCAAAAGAAGATCTTTTCCTGGAGCAATCTGAGGAACCACTTGGGATGTTCCCCCTCGTACCAAAAAGTACTTAGTATAGGGATCATAATAATAGTGGGTGCTGCTATTCTAAAGGGGGAACATCCCAAGGCCCCACCCTTCCTACCAAACACCTAAACCCTAAACCCTAAACCCAAAAGTTAACAAAAAGTACATAACAATTGGAGATCTGGGGCTAGCTCATAAAATGTATATGTCAAGGGGCATTGTTCGGCAGTGAAAGTCCCTGCTCGGCTAGCAGATTGAGATCGGCAACCACAGCAGCCAGCACAGACTGAAGGGTGACATTGACATGGTTCTCATCAAAGGTGTAGGCTTCCACAGGAATGCAGAAAGCCACATTCCGTGACGCTTTGCTATCGCCCCGACAAGGTGTCAAGTCGGACATCCTAGGCAGTTTGCAACCAAACTCACGAATTGAAACATCCTTCTAGACATTGATACAGAAAACTAGGGACCACAAGGATCTTATTTCTAGTTCAAGCATCCATGTCCCCAGCATGAAACCATTTTGGCCATTTTTGTTTGAACCTTCGTCACCATACAGAACGATTGGTATCGTTTTCTTCAAACGATTCCTGGACATCGATGCCAAAGGGTGCCAGCTCCCTGCGTCACCCAAAAATGCATCCCAGTAAGCTAACGCTTCATTCTCATCCGCAGGCAGCAAGTACTTCAGGTAGCCATTTTCAATCATGCTGCTTGCCTCAGAACCCAAAAAGAATACACAAATCTGCAGCTACACAGTTGCTGCAAGCAAATCTTGTAGAGCCGAGTGGCTAGCGAACTCACTAGCATCACCGGAAATTCACGAACCAGCCATTTCTCATCATCCGAAGAGTCTTCCCCCCGAATCGCAGAGGCCAACACCGGAATTTGAGGCCATGTGATTTCACAGTCAAAACCACAGCCGGCTTTCCTTACGCGATTGTGAAACTCTGCTTCCCGAAGACTGCGACTGCTGGAGGATGCAAGTGTATTGGAGTGGTAGATGGCACCTCAGTTCACGTTGGCCTCTGCACAGAGACTATATTTATTTTGGGCTTTCTTCCGGGTTCCAGCAGACCTTTCCAAAGGCATTTTCTGGTTTTGTTTGGGCTACAAAGTAAAGCAGAAAACCATCCTAGCAAACAGCCACGGCACCCAGCTCACAGCCCAAGGTAATCGAGGCATGGCCAGCACAGACACTCTCCACAATCCTCGGCGCAGTCTTTGTTGTAGGGTGTAGGTTAACGAGGCACTTGCGAGAGCCCTCTTTGAAAAAGGGGTTTCGGGTTTAGGGTTTAGGGTTTAGAGTCTAGGGTTTAGGGTTTAGGGTTTAGCGTTTAGGGTTTCGGGTTTAGTGTAGGGAGACATAAAGAGTCTGGGTTCAAAAAGGGTATAGGGTTAAGGTCTAGGGTTTAGGGAAACTGCATGGCCTGAATATGTCCAGGCAGATCTTCCAAGCCCACTGCAAGAAGGGGTTGGCGTAAATTGGGGTTTAGGGTTTAGGTGGTTGAATCAATATAGCACAAAACGAAGCAGGCACCCATCAGCAACCATCCAAGGTACTTTCGGTCCAGCTGTTCACGAACATCGGCTGCTACTGCGGTTGGCGGAGAAGAACCTGCGCAGGCATTGAGACCATATGCATGTCAATGGAGGGCGGCTTGGGATTGTAGCCGTGCCAGTGATCTTGACCGAACTTGTATCTTGAAAGGCTACATATATGCTTGGGCACTCTTGTTTCTTGCAACTCGGGTCGCACACGATGTAGGTTGCAGTGGGACAGGCCACCTTCTACCTTCCAAATTGAAACCACAGCTTCAGCTGTTGGACACAAACTCAGAGACTTCATCGATCCTCATATATGCGGCTGCATATAGGAGGGAGAATACCCAAACACATCGTGCACAGGATCATTCCCTGTGCTGAGAACTTGCAGTTCCTTTGCGGCTTTGGGCTGTGCAGGTTACTACATCACATGGCTTGCTAGCCCACAGCACAAGGTTCTAAGACCCTGCATCGATGATAACCCACATGCCAAGCTCTTTTCAGCCTGACTTCTTCAACTCATTCACAAGTCCTCGCGCCTTTCCTTTGACGATCTTCAGCTCTGTCACCTGACATAGGCAGCTATATATCCATTCAGTGACATAGATTCCCAGGGTAGCTCAGTCAGTATCACATTCTTTGACATTTTTGGTGCTCCTTAACAGAGCCAAGACACCACCTCATTGACTTCCCGGCAGAGAGGCTCCATCTGAGCAAAGGTAGTCGCACCCTTGAACCTGAGATGTTGGGATAGCTATATGCTCGTGGTTCCTAGCAAAACGAAGAAACATCTACCTCTGTGGCCACATACAGGTTGTACTAAGGGACTTCTTTGCCAGTTTCTTTAACTCCTCAAGGCCGTCCTCGAGATCCTCCTTGAGATCCTCATCATCCGGCAAGTCGACGGACAGCGTGACCACAGCGGCCATCTCCTTTCGAATCTCGCTGCCTGGGCTGAGAATTAAGTTGGGGTTTCTGGTTTAGGGTTAAGTTAGGGTTTAGGGTTTCGTTTTCAAGGCCAGTTGACCTGCAGAGTCTGGGTTCGAAAAGAGTTTAGGGTTCAGGGTTTAGGGTTTAGGCTTTAGGGTGCACAGTGTGTAAAACTGGAGCATTCAATATTGGCAGAGAAAAACTGAGGGACATAAAAGACAGCAAACATACTATTCGTGTTGATTTTGAGACAGACCTCATTCCCAAGCGTGCGTACACACAGCAGCGTTCCCCAATATGAAGACCCCGAAACGTACACGGGTACCCTGCTGAGATCCAGCGACTCCCGCACACCCTAAACCCTAAACCTTAAATTAACTCAAACCCAAACCACAGCACCCATAACATAGACGAAGCACTCCACTTGGCGTGCTTCTCCGCTTCCGTCTTGAAATGCTCTTCCATGATCGGAACTTTCCTTGCCGCCGTGCTTGCCGTGCGGCGGGAAACAGTGGACCTGGCTCCATGTCCGCGAGGGCCAGACGCACTTCCTGAGATTACAGAGCACAAAGCACCAGCACATATTGACACACTGGCACACATGCGGCAGAGGTGCCAGCAAACTCGATAACACTAGCTCACCTATGTCGAGTGACCTGGCAAGTTGGCTGCTGCCCCAAGTTCATTGTTGTAGTTGTCATAGGCTCGGAGAATGTCACCAGAGAGTGGTGCCGACGTGGTAGTGGCAGCCTTGCCCAACATGCGCGGGTCCACATTCCCATCGAGTATGCGTGAAGCCGTAGCACCAGAAGCACGGGCACGCATATTGAGCGACTCTTCATACCTCATGCACATGTTCCTCAATATTCTTGGATCACTCTTTCTCTCTGTCTCTCTCTCTCCCTCTCTCTCTCTCTCTCTCTCTCTCTCTCTCTCTCTCTCTCTCTCTCTCTCTCTCTCTCTCTCTCTCTCTCTCTCTCTCTCTCTCTCTCTCTCTCTCTCTCTCTAGATCCTCTCACCATTGAAATTGAAATGCTCGACACGCTCCGTGTCGACACGAGTCTCCTCGACAGTGCACCAAAACTTCGTCTCTTCGAGCACGAGGGGGGCATCCCTGTCCGGGATGCCCCCCCCGCGGGCCACAATGTGGTCGATTTTCTTCCTTGCATACATGTGGCAGTCATCTAATTAGGATTCGGCAGTTCACAGCACTGATGCTGCATTTGTCACTCACCAAGCTAGCAGGCAAGGGTCTTCGAAAAACACCACGGAGCTTTGTGCATATCTTTAACCGCTATCAGTTGGACTTTCCTCTGGCCTTGCACAGAACTGTTGCGACTCGCTTTGATTGCACTCTCGCAAGCAGCGAGGTTCTCCCCACTGCTGATCCAGCGACGAAGCAAGTCGCCACGTTCCTGCACCAGGGAGCATTGGGAATACAGATTTTTCTGGTACACTCAGGGTCAGAGAAATTCTAGGGGCAACTAAGTGTTGGGTGCTTTTTCTTCTATGTAACGCTTTAAGGGGTTTTTGGGGTTTGAAAACAACAGTTGGGAATACAGGGCCATAGTAAGTCTAGGGACGACTTAAGCTATTCTACCTGACAGTCAGTTTCTGTTGGGGTTTCTCAACAATGTGCTACATATGTGTTTCCTATGGATTAATTGTACATATATGTAGCATAGCGCGGGTTGAAAAAACATATATATATATATATATATGTAGATATAGGTGTTTTAATGTATGTCTGCATGTATGTGTGTATGTGCACATAAAAGTATTCATATACATACATACATACATACATGCATACATATATACATACATAAGTACATATACACATATATACATACAAACATACATATACACATACACATATTCATACATACATATATACATATATACATATATATGGTGCAGCGTCGCTGCCCCATGGCACCCCCCCTGCAGCGTCGCTGCCCCATGGCACCGCCCCCCCCCCCCCCCCCCCCCCCCCCAAATTCTTTCCCCGCCCCGCCCCCCTGTGGTTTGGGCCCCTGTGGGGTGGGGTGGTTGGGGTTTGGGTTTATTTAGGGTTTAGGGTTAAGGGTTGAGGGTTTAGGGCTTTGGGGTTTAGGGTTTAGGATTTCGGGTTTCGGGTTTAGGGTTTAGCGTCCCCGCCCCGCCCCTCTGTGGTTTGGGCCCAACTGTGGGGTGCTGTGGTTGGGGTTTGGGTTGAGGGTTTAGGGTTGAGGGTTTAGGGTTTAGGGTTTAGGCGTTTACGGGTTTAGGGGTTTAGGGGTTTTGGGTTTTGGGGTTTAGGGTTGAGGGTTTAGGGTTTAGGGTTTAGGG